GAACGAAGCCTGCCGGAGGAAGCTGCCCAGAAAAGACCTGTTCCAGAAGGGCACCAGAAGGACACCGATACCCGAAGCCGCTGGAGGAAGCCGGATAACAACAACAACAAAAAAGCCCTGGGTGCTGGTAGGCAGACACTACCCTATAGACAATGTGGCCCTAGTTAGGTGAAATTGGAGACTCTATGTAAACCGCTCAGAGACCTGTTAAGGGTTAGAGCGGTATATAAATTGAATGTAAATAAATAAATAAATATGGAGCAGAGGTCCATCAGTGGCTATTAGCCACAAGGTATAGCTAGGGGCTCTGGGGCAAGTGATGCTCTGTCTTCTTGGTGCTTGGGGGGGGTCAAGAGTGGGAGGGCTTCTAATGTCCTGGCCCCACTGCTGGACCTCCTGATGGCACCTGGTGTTTCTGGCCACTGTGTGACACAGAGTGTTGGACTGGATGGGCCTTTGGCCTGATCCAACATTGGCATCTCTTATGTTCTTATGTAAGCCTATGCAAGTCAAGAACAGCTGTCGCGCAGAGGCTTCATGATATTCAGACCAGACAAGACAAGGGATCTTGAGGGGTTTGTATGAGAAATAAACAGGAGGAACTTGAACTTCAAATATTGGAAAGTAAGTATGATCTGATCGGTATCACTGAGACTTGGTGGGATGAGTCTCATATATGGAGCACAGCGATCAAAGGATATACCTTGTTCAAATGGAACACAATAAACAAAAAAGGAGGCGGGGTGGCACTATATGTCAAGAATGAATACGCTTGCACTGAAATTCAGGATTTCGAGAGATGAGGTAAGGATAGAGCGAGGGAAAAAAGAAGGGGATATTGTTGTGGGGGTATACTAAAGACCTCCGAACCAACCGGAGAAACTGGATGATGCATTTGTACAACAGCTTGCTAAACTTTCACAGAGACTTTCACAGATGTAGTGGTTATGGGAGATTTCAACTATCTAGATATTTGCTGGAAATCTAACTCTGCTAGACATGGGACATCCCACAGATTCTTGAATAGTCTTGTGGACAACTTCATCTCTCAGAAGGTGGAGGTGGGAAACAGAGGATCTGCCAACCCCAATTTAATCCTGACTAACAGGGAAGAACTGGTTGATGAAGTGAACGCTGTGGGATCCTTGGGGAACAGTGACCATGTCAGCTTGGAATTTGACATAGGGAAGGATGTGAAACCAGGACATAGTAGGACTCGTATCCTGGACTTCAGGAAAGGTAGGTAGGATCCCATGGCTGGAGATGTTGAGGGGGAAATCTGCACAGGAAGGATGGGTGATGCTGAAAAATGAAGTGCTTGAGGCGCAATCGCAAACTGTTCCAGTAAGAAAGAAAGGTGGGAGATGGGTAATGAAGCCAAGGTGGCTGGACAAGGAACTCTCTAAAGAGCTGACACTAAAAAGGGAAATGTACAGGAAATGGAAGGAGGGTCAAATTACTGAGGGTGAGTACAAGAAGCAGGCTTGAATCTGTCAGAAAGGCTAAAGCGCAGATGGAGCTGAGGCTTGCGAGGGATGCTAAAAATAACAAGAAAGGTTTCTGTGCCTATGTTTGGAGCAAAAAGAACATGGATGGGGCAAGCCCATTGCTAGGGGAAGATGGTCAAGCCTTAACACGGGATGAAGACAAAGCGGAATTACTCAACTCTCACTTTGCGTCGGTTTTTAACTGTAAGGCCAGCTGTATACAAACTGAAGAATGCAGGGCACATGAAGGAAGGAGGAACTGCCAGTCCAAAGTAAGTAAGGAAATGGTTAGAGAGCATCTAGCTGCCTTAAATACTTTCAGATCTCCAGGGCCAGATGGCTTGCATCCCAGGGTGCTAAAAGAAATTGCAGATGTTATTTCAGAGCCTCTGGCTG